ACGAAGTTAACTCTACTAACACCTTGATCTTGGGTTTCTAGCTTACAGAATTATGAGAAAATAAATTTGTGTTGTTTATACCATCCAGTTTGTGGTACTTTGTTATGGCAGTCCTAGCAAACTAATACACCTCCTCCCTGAAAAAAAGTAAAATACTTAAGTAAACATTTAACAAAACATACAGAATCTGTATGCTAAAAATTATAAAACATTGACCGGGCTCAGTGGTTCAGCCTGTAATCCCAGCACTTTGGGAGGCTGAGGTGAGAAGATTGCCTGAGCCCGCAGATTTGAGACCTGCCGGGGCAACTTGGCGAGACCTCATCTCTACAATAAATCAAAAATTAGCCTGGCGTGGTAACGCGCGCCTGTAGTTCCCACTACTTGAAGGCTGAGGCGGAAGGATCACCGGAGCCCAGCAGTTCGAGGCTGTGGTGGCTGGGAGTGGCCACTGCACTCCAGTCTGGGGGACAGAGTGAGTCTCCAACTCAAAAAAAAAAATTTTTTTTTAAATTATAAAACATCGATGAAGATTTTTTTAAAGACCTAAAGAAATGGAGATATGGCATTTTCATGGATTTGAAAACTTAATAAAGATACCATTCTCTTCTAAATTGACCTATAGATTTCACACAATTTGAATTAAGATCTCAACAGGATTTCTTATAAGTAAGACAAGCTGACATAAGGCAAAGAATCAGACTAGCTAAGACAGTGCTGAATAATAAAGTTGAAGAAATCACACACAGTCTGATTTAAAGACTTACTATAAGGTACAGTAATCAAGACAGTATGGTATTCATGAGTGGACAGACACATAGATCAATAGAACAGAATTGAGAAATAAAAAATAGAACCACAAAATATGCCAAGTGATTTTTGACAAAGGGGCAAAAACATGGGGCTTCATTATACTCTTCTGTCTACTTTCTTATATGTTTAATAGTTTCCATATTAAAAACATTAAAAAGGGGGTAAGAGGTTGTTAGTTTTCAACATAGACTGCCTGATATGAGTCCTGATTTTACCATTTAGTAGTTGACCTTGGGCAAGTTACTAATTTGTCATAAACTTAAGTTTCTCCCTCCATAAGATGAGGCTTTTTTTTTTTTTTTTTTTTTTTTGAGTCGGGTCTCACTCTCTCACCCAGGCTGAAGTGCAGTGGCATGATCAGAGCTACCATAGCAGCCTGGATCTCCTGGGCTCAGGCGATCCTTCTACCTCAGCTGCCTGAGTAGCTGGGACTACAGGCGCATGACACTGTGCCTAGTTAATTTTTTGGTTAATAGTAGAGACAAAGTCTTGCCAAGTTGCCCAGGCTGGTCTCGAACCCCTGGGCTCAGGCAATCCTCTCACCTCTGCCTCCCAAAGTGCAGGGATTACAGATGTGAGCTACAATGCCCAGCTAAAATAAGACTATTAGTGATAATATTTGTCTCATAGATTATTGTTAGGATTAAATGGATGATGTCAGAATACCTGAAAAGCAATTTCTTTAGTTCTTGATAAATCACACATGTTCAATAAATGCTAATTATTTTCTTGTTTATTATTATTACATTTCCCAGTCTGATTCCTCCATGCCATCTCCTCTGTATGGGCAGGTCTTCTTTCAAGATTCTCCTGGGATATCCTGTGTGATATCTAAAAAAGACCATTATATCTTACACAATTATACAGAATTATAAAACATATATTTGAAATGCCTCTTCCCAAGGCTGGGTGTGATGGCTCCAGTCTGAAATCCAAGCACTTTGGGAGACCGAGGCAAGAGGATTGTCTGAACCCAGGGGTTCGAGACCAGCCTGGGTAACTTGGTGAGACCTCATCTCTACAATAAATCAAAAAATTAGCTGGACGTGGTAGCATGTGCCTGTAGTTCCAGCTACTTGGAAGGCTGAGGTGGAAGGATTTCCTGAACCTAGTCAAGGCTGTGGTGGCCATGAGCATGCCACTGCACTCCAGTCTGGGCGACAGAGTGAGTCTCCAACAGAAAGAAAGAAAGAAAGAGAGAGAGAAAGAGAGAAAGAAAGAAAGAAAGAGAGAAAGAAAGAAAGAAAGAAAGAAAGAAAGAAAGAAAGAAAGAAAGAAAGAAGGAAAGAAAGAAAGAAGGAAAGAAAGAAAAAGAAAGAAATGCTACTTGCCCCTTACACTGCTTTATATGTTCTATTCTTTATTCTTTTATTTATCCTGGAGGAAATCCTAAACTTAAAAGACTGCATTGGATAAAAATCCAGAAATGCCTTTATTTTTCACTGAACAAGGAGTAACAAAAGAATCCCATGAGTAATAGTGAGGTGGAGTTCACCTTCTGGACTGACATCATAGAACCACATAATCTGAGACAGGAAACCCTGCGAGGTCATCTGGTCCAGTTTCCAACACAAGGCAGCAGCCCCTTCCCAGCACTTTCTACAGTTTCTATTTTCAGAACTAAGGAGTTCACTCATCGTTACTGAGATCAACAAAGTTTCTAGGATAAGCCCAGTCTCAATATTCTGTCCTTTGGTTCCCAGTGACACACTCATAGTAGTTAAAGTGTACCACTTTAGGGTCAGAAAATGCAATCACTGAGAGAGGCCTGAGCTGTAGTTATGCTCCCCTTTTGTTCCATACCTTCCCCTCCCTTGCCACATCCTCTATCCATGAGGGGGGAGGAGGACCTAGAACACCTCCAACCAGAGCTGGGCAGTGGCAAGGATCAGTAGTGTGACTTCTTGACTAAGTCAGTGGTGAGGGCATCAGAAGCACTGGAACATAATCTCCTCAGTCTCTCAGAACAAAAAAGCACAAGGATCCTTCCCTTTCTCTTTTCAATTCTCTCTATATAGATTGGCACTTCATCATACCCTGGCACACTGACTTCCCTCAAGACAATATGCAGGCTGCTTTGAAAAGTTAGAGGAGGCCAGGCACAGTGGCTCACACCTGTAAACCCAACACTTTGGAGGCTGAGGTGGGAGGATCACCTGAGGCCATGAGTTCAAGACCAGCCAGGGCAACATAATGAGACTCCATCTCTACAAAAAGAAAAAGAAAAAAAAAGAAGAAGAAAAAGAAAATCCAAAGGCACATGTAGCTGAGTCAGAGGGACATTTTCAGCCAGCCCAGAAGAAAAGGAAAACAAAGTGTCTCTTGGCTCATTCACAGAGTTTACCAACTACAACTGAAAACTGGAATTCCAATGTCCTTACTTCCCCGATGGTATTAGTTTATGATGTTGTCAATGAATCTGTGGAGATACTTATTACTGTACATCAAAGAGCAAATGTCATTCTGGTTGGAAAACTTGTGTATGAGCAAGAATGGTCCTCCTGACAAATTTGTAGCTCCAGTGGCTCCTGGCATGTATTTCTGACTCCTATCCATGCTTCTGCTGCCAACAGAACTCAGATCTAAAAAGCTAACTGATCCTCTGTGTTGTCTTTTTTTTTTTAATCCCAAAGACTTCAAAATTACTTATTGTCCTTTGAATAATAGTAGCCATCATCTGTTGAATATTTTGCTTTACAACAGGCACTATATATCCATCTATAGATGAGGAAACTCGAAGTTGAGTAAGTTGTCTAAGGTCACAGAGCCAATAAATGTTCCTCAGACTCAGTTACATGTGCCTCTGAATTTTCTTTCTTTTTCTTTTTTAATTTTTAACTTTTGTAAAGATGGAGTCTCATTATGTTACCCTGGCTGGCCTTGAACTCATGGCCTCAATAAGGCAAGATTCTTATTTCATACAGTCTGCCTCCAAAGCCCAGATTTTTTTTTTTTGAGTTGGAGTCTCACTCCGTCACTCAGACTGGAGTGCAGTGGCATGCTCACGGTCACCCCAGCGTCCTTCCGCCTCAGCCTTCCAAGTAGCGGGAACTACAGGCGCACGCCGCGCCTGGCTAATTTTTTATTTTATTGTAGAGATGAGGGCTCGCCAAGTTGCCTGGGCTGGTCTCGAAACCTCAGGCTCAGGCAATCCACTCGCCTCTGCCTCCCAAAGTGCTGAGATTTCAGGCTGAGACACCGAACCTGGCGCAAAGCCCACACTTGAACCCTAGGGGCACAAGACCCAGATCAGGGTGAAGCTTTGACTTTTAGTCAAAGGGAGCACCTGAGTGATCCTGATGGTCTGGCGCTGTGAACCAAGCCAGTCTTCTGTTAAGAGGGACCAGGATATGAAGTTGCCACGCCACTGTTCATTTCTTGAGACTTCACCAAGCTATTCAATTCTCTTGCTGCAATTCGGCCCGTTGACAAACTAAAGTGATTACACACTGATTAATTTAAAACCCTTCTGTTCTACTGAGCCTGTCTCTGGCTCAATGTTACAGTCTCTGTTTAGCATTCGCAGACGCAGAGATTTCTAATCCCCGAATTTCGGGTGGTTCTACGGTAGCTAGCATTCCTATCGCGTTCGGGGATAAGTGGGTCGAAGTGGCAGGGACCAGAAAACTGGGGAGAGGCTGGAGTTGCGGTCTTCAAAGATCTTGGACAGGCCGGGCGCGGTGGCTCAAGCCTGTAATCCTAGCACTTTGGGGGGCCGAGGCAAAAGGGTTGCCGGCAGGGGTTCGAGACCAGCCTGGGCAATTTGGCGAGACCTCGTCTCTACAATAAATCAAAAAAATTAGCCGGGCGTGGTAGCGCGTGCGTGTAGTTCCAGCTACTTGGAAGGCTGAGGCGGAAGGATCGCCGGAGCCCAGCGGGTCGAGGCTGCGGTGGCCGTGAGCGTGCCACTGCACTCCAGCCTGGGCAACAGAGTGAGACTCCGACTTTAAAAAAAAAAAAAAAGATTTTGGACAAATTCTGGAGATCCTGAACCCGCGAGCCACCAATCGCAGGCAGAAGGACCGGGGAGCAGAAGTGGTTGGCCCAGCCTCTGAACCGCCCAGGCCGCCGACCAGGCCCCGCGTCCACACAAGCCCCGCCCCAGACCCCGCCTCCGGGCGAAGCCTGCCTCCGGGCCCCGCCTCTGATTGGCCCCGCCTCCGGACAGGCCCCACCCTCAGGCCCCGCCTCTGGCTCGCCCTGCGGCGCATTGTGGGATCTGTCAGCCTCTCGGATGGTGGAGTACACAGCGCGCGGTCATGGGGATCCAGCCGGTGAGACCCTCATTCCGTATCCTGCCCTGTTGGGCCCCACCCTATCTGGTTCTGGCCACTTAGCTCCGGATCTGGAGCTCGCACCGCCGACCCCGCCCCGCAGGGCCCTGGACTCACCCCGAATGCTCGGTTCCCTGCCCCGGTGACCCCCGCCCCCGACCTCTGTGTGCCTCCGCGCGGGAGCTCGGGATCGCCACCCCGGGGGGGAGCTGGTCGTACGGACGCCCACCACTCACGCCCCAGGCTGTTCCCCGGCCTGGTGGTCACGCTGTCTCCTCTGCCCACAGAGCTCAGTCCTGCTAGCCTCCGTGGGGGTGGGGCTGCTTACACTGCTCGGCCTGGCTCTGGGCTCCTACTTGGTTCGAAGGTCTCGCAGGCCTCAGGTCACTCTCCTAGACCCCAGTGAAAAGTATCTGCTGCGCCTGCTGGACAAGACGGTGAGTTGTGGAAGAAGGGGCCAGGGTGGGAGAAGGGGCCAGAGTGCTCCTGGTATGGAGGGGACAGCATCCACGGGACTTGGCAGCGCCAGCCGCCTTGGTGAAACGCTTGTGTCATTCATCCTCCAGACTGTGAGCCACAACACCAAGAGGTTCCGCTTTGCCCTGCCCACCGCCCATCACATTCTGGGCCTGCCTGTGGGTAAGGAACGTGGGGAGTGGGCTCCTTTCCCTGGTACCTCAGACGGTGTTTCCCTTTATGGGGCCTCGTGAAGCATGCTGCTTCAACCTTCCATACACCATTCCCCTTTCCCCAGTTGGTTCTGCATCCTCTAGGCTGTGAGGTGCCACTGGGCCCCTCTAGGGTGTGGCTTCTTGGTCCCCCAACCAGCTTCAACACTCAGCAGTCTTCCCTCTTCCCTGCAGGATTTCCTCTTAAATGCCCTTGAGCAAGCGTTAACTTTTTCCATGGCCCAGACCCATGACTCACCTGCTGCTTCTGCTGCTGCTGCTGCTGGGCAATAACCAATGAGTTTCTCCAATTTGGTGTGTGTGGGGGGGTGGGGGGTGGGAAACTTATGAGATCGAACTGAGGGCTCAAAGGGGAAAAAAGACATTCTGTTCTCTCACCTGAGTATGAATTAACAGGACTGCAGCACATCCACAAGCAGCCCTTATATAGCTCTCCACATGGTCCCCAGGCAAACATGTCTACCTCTCTGCCCGAATCGATGGCAATCTCATCATCAGGCCATACACTCCTGTCACCAGTGATGAGGATCAAGGCTATGTGGATCTCATCATCAAGGTAAAGGGGTAGGAGGAAACCCCAGGATCAGCTTCCCCCACTCTTTCTGGGGTTTGTGAAAACCTCCAAGATTGTTTGACAGCCAGAGATAGTATGTCCTTTGTGGATGTGAGGAAAGTATGTGTACTGGAGAAAGATAGCACATATCTGATGATCCTTTCCTTAGCCTCAGGGGGATTCAGTCAACATGGGGCTCAGAAACCAGTGACATCCCAAATAAGTTATTTTTCTTTCTGTCTTATCAGATCTACCTGAAGGGTGTGCACCCCAAATTTCCTGAGGGAGGAAAGATGTCCCAGTATCTGAATAGCCTGAAAATTGGGGACATGGTGGAGTTTCGGGGGCCAAGTGGGTTGCTTACTTACACTGGAAAAGGTAATGACCTGTCTTCCCCTCTAGCCTGTCTTCTTTTTCTTCAGTTCCCAAAGTCCTCTTAGCATAGTATGGCTGTGTGTACATATGTGTGCATGTGTGTGAGGGCCAGGGCTGTCCTTCCTTCTAAATGTAGCATATATATAGAAAGGCATATTTCTCAGCCCCATTTGCCACAGGAAGCAGTTGCCCATCCACTTGAATTCACCAGTCATGACAGCTGTGGAGATTCCTAAAGCAAACACATGCCTCTCTTCCCCTCCTTCAGAGATTCACCCCTCAGGATGAACTGTGGAGAGAGCCAGAGATAGCTATTAGCCCTTCCCATGTGAACAGCTGGGTGCAAAAGCAAGTGTCTGGAGCTGCACTGTGCCACTTGGGAAAATAGATTCACACCTGGCCCCATTCCTGTTGTCCTCACCAGGGAAGGACCCTTTGCCAGAGGCAGATTCTATGCACTGTGTGGCCCTGAACCAACTGGTAGGCAGATATCCCTGGTCCCATTGCCCCACAAGTGTTTTATTGTCAGGACTGGCTCAACTCAAACCTCCAAGCAAATTCTAGGATCAGATTTCATAGCAGCTGCTAAACTGGCCTCAGGCATAATTTCAACTCTGCATTTGTTTTAAGAGTTCCCTGAATTGACTTTATTCTTCCTCCTTTCTCTTCATCTGATATCTCAGGACATTTTAACATTCAACCCAACAAGAAATCTCCACCAGAACTGCGTGTGGCGAAGAAACTGGGAATGATTGCTGGCGGGACAGGTGCATTAAACTGAGGGGTCTTTCTCTCCCACCATTGTTGATTGTTGCCATGCAAAGTCCTAAGTGACCCTTAGAAGACTGGTAGTCATAGCTAAACTGTTCACCAGGGGATTCCCAGCAGTGCCTAGAGCTCCCTATTATCTGAAACAAAACCATAACCAATTAGAATCCAAAAAATGTTTAATTGATGGAATGAGAGAAACAAATCAAGTGGGTTCTCCTCACACCGAATGCATCTATTTTTAGGTGAGAGTAGAGAGAAGCAGCTAAAAATGACTAACTAGTCAGGAAGAAGGAAAATTAACACTGGACACTACTATGTATTAGACCCTGCATAGTCTAATATTAGATACTACATACAGTCTAATGCACTACTACATATTAGACACATATGAATTAGACACTTATATATGTATCTATGAGGTAAGTACTAGTCTTTTTCTCTTACAGAAGAGAAAATGGAGTTTCAGAGAGAATAAACGATTTCCAGAGTTATTTAACTGATAATTGCTAGAAGCAAAATTAGTATATGACTCTGCTAGATTCAAAAGTACATGCTCTTGACCTCTGCAAGTACAGTGCTGCAGAACCCTCATCATTGAATCAGGAGGTACTTGTAATCATCTTTGATATTTGAGTCCTAGCTTCCAAGGGACTTCCAGAGGAAGAGTCTTAGATTGGTTCTTTAGAAGGATTTCAACGATGACCTTATATGAATATTGAGGGTGTCCAGAAATGTAGGTGCTAGAGAATATCAAAATAAGTCAAGAGGATTTGGATACTAAATAAAAATGGAGTAGAGGATGAATAAGTAGAATTAAGATGAAAGGGTAAGTTAGGACAGGGCAGAGAGTGTGGCCACCACATCTTGCTGTGGGGTATCTCCATGCAGGAATAACCCCAATGCTACAGCTGATCCGGGCCATCCTGAAAGTCCCTGAAGACCCAACCCAGTGCTTTCTGCTTTTTGCCAACCAGGTTGGTTTGCTTTTCTCAGTCCTGGGACTTCAAAGTTGCTGTGTGTGTAGGGCTGAGAGATGTGATACCCATGGGCAGAACTGGTCCGGTGCCTGTTTTCGGCTCTGCCCAACATTTCCTCTGCAATGTACAGGACCCTCACTACTATAAAGATTTAAAAAAAAAAAAAAAAAGACAGAGCACTGAGCCACATTCTTTCCCAAAAGAAGAAAACATTTAAGGCATCTTGTCCTGAACACAGAAACTTGGATCTTCTTGTTTAAACATTCCATCTTTATTCCTTTACAATGTGTGGTTAAAAGCTATTCCCTTCTCCTCCCCCTCATCCCAACTCCCTAAAAGCACTGCAGGTCTTGCTTATTTCCCAGAACTTTAGCATTCCTACGGCATTCTTTTTCTATCTTGGTTGGAAAGTTATAGCAGAGAACTTTTCTTGTGGGTCTGAGAAGATTCCTAAAGACTTTCTTTCCTCTTTGCATTTCAGACTGAAAAGGACATCATCTTGCGGGAGGACTTGGAAGAACTGCAGGCCCAACATCCCAATCGTTTTAAGCTCTGGTTCACTCTGGATGATCCCCCAGAAGGTAACCTCCCCATTCCTGGACATTCCACTATCCCCTCATCATCAAAATCAAGTCCTTGCCCCTCTGTGAGTTCTGGTTTCAGTGGAACCAACCTTCCCTGACACTGCCAAACTCCCAAGTCTGCATGCACAGACACAGCAGTCTCCTGGTCCCTTTTCTTCAGGTTCCTGCTTACCAGGTAGGTGGCAGGAATGACTGTGCTGCTGCTGATGGGTCTTGAGGCAGGCTGGGTATACCCATCCACCTGCTGCTACAACTTGATATCCTCTCAAGAGCCTTTAGGGCCCTCCCCAATGGTCCATCTTCATGGCATCACACCCCCTTGCCAGCATTTGTCTGGAGCATCGGTTCTCTCCTCTCTTCTGTCCTTCAGTTTGGGCCTACAGCAAGGGCTTCGTGACTGCCGACATGATCCAGGAGCACCTGCCCGCCCCCGGGGATGATGTGCTGCTGCTGCTTTGTGGGCCACCCCCAATGGTGCAACTGGCCTGCCATCCCAACCTGGACAAACTGGGCTACTCGCAAAAGATGCGATTTACCTACTGAGCACGCCCCAGCTTCCCTAATGCCATTCTCTGCAATTGTCCCCAATCAGTACTCAAGCACCATAAGCCCTAGCTTCCTTTCTTGAGAGTATCAGCCTTTTGTGTCTTACTCTGGAGCTGAAATCTGGATGATACCTGCAGGAACAACATTCCTGTAGCCACGGAAGAAGGCAAAAGCTGAGTCATTCCCTGGAATGCCTCCCAAATCTCCCTGTGATAAAAGGTCCTGGTGAGGCCCATGGAGCTGTCTCTTTTCCATGGGGTAAGAAAAAAGGGAGCATGGGCCTTTGTTCCAAGACTGGCCAGTTCCTTGATAGCATCACACTCTCACCTTCTTTCTGTCTGGGATGAAAGGAACAATCTGTAAAATGAGTTTTACTTAACATTCAGTGCCTAACCTATGGGAAAATTCGGTAAATGTGAGTACACATGGAGCAGACTTCCAGAGGTAGTCTCATAGAGATGGCAGGAAGGAGGGAATGGTTTCTTCAGACCTGCAGACTTCAGAGAAAGGAGTCTGAAGTATGTATTTGTGTGTCTCTATCTCTCTCAGCCCCTGCCCAGGCTAGAGGGAAATGGCTTTTGGTAATCTAGGACTGTTGTTTGTGGCAGGAACCCCTGGCTATGCAAATAAATAGGGCTAAGGCCCATGTGTGATACCTAAGGGGTCCTTGTGTCTGGGATCCTTGTTTTCAAATGTCTGAGGACCTTGGGAGGAAGGGTTTGCCAGCATGGAATTCTCCTAGGTCTTCTGAAGAGCCTTGGAGCAGTTGTCTCATGTGCTGAAATGTGAGCCGACCACAGAACCAGTGCTCATTTCAGCAGCTGCCTCAGCAGAGCCAGAGTTCCACTTCTCCCTGGAGGCTTTTGAGTTGGGGAAAGGAGAACACATGTTAGGGGTCGCTTTTTCAGCCCAAGTATTCCTCACAGTGATCCCTTGATCTGTTCAGTCTTCTCCTTCTTCCTTCTCTTGGCCCATCCTTCATGCTATTGAGTCTTCAGGGAACCTGGCAAACAAATCGAAGTGTTGCAAAGCTGTTTGGAAGAGAAGGCTTCTCCTTTAAAAAGTAATCTGACATCACCAGACCTGGCCAGACTGGAGAAAGTTGGCCTCCCCCATGCCATCTGTCCTGAGCGCCCTTCTTCTCCACTACAGAGCATGACCCAATCTACTTCCTTCTCCCAGGGTAGAACTAGGGCAGCTTCTTCAGATTCTTCTTTGTAAGTCTCATTGGAACAAGATGATGTGTTGGAATCAGGAAGAAGTTCAACTTTTTCACAGAACTGTATGTTGCTATTTCTGGGGCTCCTAGAGAGAAAAACCTGTGGGACCCTCAGAATTCACCCCTCATAGAACAGTCTTCAGTAAATTCTGTTGGTAGTAGTCTGTCAAACATTTTTCTTTTTCTTTATTTTTTTGAGACAGGGTCTCTGTCACCCAGTCTGGAGTACAGTGGTATGATCGTAATTTACTACAGCCTTGACCTTTTGGGCTTAGGCAATCTTTCCCCCTCAACCTTCTGAGTAGCTGGGACTACAGTTGTGTGCCACCGCACCTGACTAATTTTTTTATTTTTCTGTGGAGACAAGGTCTCATTATGTTGCCTAGGCTGGTCTCAAATTCCTGGGTTCAAGCAATTATCCTGCCTCAGCCTTCTGAAATGCTGGGATTACAGGCATGAGTCACCATGCCTGGCCTGTCAAACATTTCTTGTTCAGCTAGTATATGTATGGCACTGTGCTCTGAAGACAGTCTCAGCCATCTCCCCCCCAGAAAGGAAAACCTTGCTTATAATTGTTGCTGGGCTCAAGTGGTGAAGCAGCCCTGCAAAGAGAATTTCCCACATGATGTTCACCATTCCTTGTCTTGCATGGGTTTCTGCCTCATCCACTCAACATACAAACATTTATTAAGGACCCATCATGTACCAAGCACTGGGTGAGGCCCTGAGGATACAAATATGACCAAGATTGGTCTTAGACCCCCCCCAAAGAACTCACAGTCTAAGATAGACAAGTGACAAATAATTACAAGACAGTCCAACAGAAGGATCAACATGTGTGAAAGCCTGAAGGAATGCAAGAGAAGTTCACATCTGGAGAGCTAAGAGAAATTCACAGAGGCCCATCGTTCCAGAAGGAAGACTGAGAAAGGTGAGACCTGAGAGTAGGTTACAGCCAGCTTGCAAAGGGTTGTGAGACACCATGCTGAAAAATTGAACTCAATCCTGTAGACAGTGGGAAGTCTGTAAGAGTTTTATACAGTGGACAACACAGTAATAGCTAACATTTATAAAGCACTTTCCACTGGCCAGGTCTCATACTAAGAGCCTATGTGAATTGCCTCACTTAGTTCTGACAAAACCCAGTGAAGCAGTAGTATTTTCTTCCCATTTTTCAGATGAAGTAATCATCATTAGAAGGGGCTTAGTAAAGTACTCAAGATCATAGACAAGAACAGAAACTTGGATCTATGATTCCAGAGTCCATGCTTTTATCCAGCACCAAGAGAATGAGCCCCACTGCTCTGAGGCACCCATATAGGATTATGAGTTACCACAGTCTCTGCCCTTAGAATGGCACTGGTTGCACAGCATCCTTGGGAGAACTGAGAAAACTGCCAGTCTCTCAAATCATCTGCTATGTTGTGTGATTCAGAGGAGGTCTGCATCACCCTGTGTTGTCTCCCAGATATGCACTCTGGGTGGATGTGGGCACATGAGCTGGTGGGAGAGGAGTGGGAGGCAGGAGGTTCTCCCGCAAGACTAGTTAGGAACAATTCCGCTGTCTCTAACAAGAAATAACAGGAGTCCGGGCGTGGTGGATCACGCCAGTAATCCCAGCGCTTTGGCAGGCTGAGGCGAGAGGACTGCCTGAGCTCAGGGGTTCGAGACCAGCCTGGGCAACTTGGCAAGACCTAGTCTCTACAATAAATCAAAAAATTAGCCAGGCGTGGTGGCGTGCGCCTGTAGTTCCAGCTACTTGGAAGGCTGAAGCAGAAGAATCACCTGAGCCCAGCAGATAGAGGCTGCGGTGGCCATGAGCGTGACACTGCGCTCCAGCCTGGGCGACAGAGTGCGACTCCGACTCAGAAAAATAAATAAATAAGAAGAAAAGAAAGAAATAACAGGAGCCCAAACTGGAGGTTAGCCCCGTGCCCGGCACATGCGAGGCACTCAATAAATAATCTGTGGGAGGAAGGGAGGGAGGTTGAAAAGGGATTAAGTGTCTCGGAGATAAAACGACCGGCGTTGGTAATAGAGGAGAGGTAGGGAATTTCTCGGCTCAGACGACAAGGTGTGTGGTGGGAAATTCGGCATTCCTTCCCAGGGCTCGGTCTAATTCTCTAGAATTCCTTCTCCATCACGCGCTCCAGTCTGTGACTTGCGAGGCGGAGTTTGGAATCGGACGAACGAGGGCAAAGCCCGGGGCGGTCGGAGTTTTACGATTGGAGCGGAGCGGGCCGGGGGGCCAGCCGCGGGGGCG